GCCCATTTTAAAATTGTGGGGTTTTTTTCTTGCTATTGAGTTGAGTTTCTTATATATTTTGGATATTAGCCCCTTATTGCCTATATGATTTGCATATATTTTCTCCCATTCCTTATATAACTTAAAATGTGTCCTCCTCCTAAACATTCCAAGTTAGAATCTTAGAATGCTTTAACTCCAATCCTTCCTTATATATTCTTACCCAGTATTTTAGTTTTGAACTTCTAAAAACTTCTCAAAATAAACATTATAATTATTAATATTACCATTATTGTAAACAATATTTGTTTGGAGTTGTGTACTCATTTGCCATTTTATTTTCTTGCCCTTCTTTGCATAGCAAACTGTTCTGTAATCATTTTTTCTTCTTGTTGAAGCACATTTTTAAATGTTCATTTAGGTATTTGGGGGGATAAATAAACCTTTGGTTTATCTGTTTTTGTTAACTTTGGTTCTTGAAAGATGGTTTTGCTGGGTACACAATTCTACATTAATAGTTTTTTTTTTTTTTTAAATTTCAAACAAGAGAGGCAAGTCATTGGATTAGGACCCAGTCACAGTTTAATCCTTCCAAAGCTCTGTGGGAGAGCTTTGTGGCTCTCCGGGCATCGTGGCGGGCACCTGTAGTCCCAGCTACTCGGGAGACTGAGTCAGGAGAATCGCTTGAACCTGGGAGGTGGAGGTTGTGGTGAGCCAAGATCATGCCACTGCACTTTCTAAACTGAGACTGTAATCTCCCCTCCCCTCAAAAATTCTCTCATGTTTTCCAGAACTATCTTAACTCCTCCCATTTTATAGCCCCCTTCCTTGAGAAACTTAGGGATCCAGAGAGCAAAACAGGAGACATTTCATGGTGAAAACAATTTTCCAGGAAGGACCCCCAGTTTCTTCTCCCTTCTACATCATGGTTAGTTTCCTCTTATTCCTGTGTTACAGGACCAACAGGTGTGTATGGCCACTGCTGTGCAGCAACAGGCCAATTACACTGACACAGCAGGGTTTGCTGCAGAGAAAAAGGTTAATGATCCCAGGGTGCCAGGTGAGGAGATTGGGAAGACTATCAAATCCATCTCCCCAAAGAGTTCTGGGCTGGGATTTTAGAGGAGATTGTGGAGGGCAAGAGGCCGGTAAACTGGGGTCAATGACTGGTCAAGGTAAGGGGATAAAATCATTGGAATATGGAAACTGCATTCTTTTGTGAGTCAGCTCCTCGTGGGGTCCTTCAGGCCAGCTGGCATCAATTGGGTCCCTCAGACTGGCTGGCACCAGTGGGGTCCTTCGGACCAGCTGGCATGAGTGCTTTCACTGGTATGCAGGCACTGAAAGAATATCTCAAAGAGAAAAGTTAACATTTTATTATGTTCAAGCTGTTACCTTTAGAGCAGTTAAGGGAACTCTAATCCTGTGACAGAGTCTGCATAATTCTGGGGCAATAGGCACTGAGCAACTATGAGGAAGCAGGTCAGAGAGCATGCTGACCTAATGATTAATGTTGAGTGTGCTGCAAGCTCTTTTCCTGTTCTGTCCTGGACATTTTGTAGGGCAAGCCTCACAGTAACTCTCTGTACACAAGGACCCATGTCCAGTCCTGACTCCCATGGTCAGATTTGAAGGGTCAGAACTTTCCACTGTGTTCAGCCTGGAAAGCTCTTTCACTTCTGCAACACGAGTCCTGAGTGAACACAGAGTCATCGCCTGGCACCTAACCCAGCCCACCACCCATCAGAGTCCACCCCTTACCCCCACAACCAGCACTTTCCCCGTAACAACTCTAGATCACCTTCCATCTTGGGTTAAGGGCACCTCCTACACTGAGTTGACTTTCCTTCCTTTCAACTTCTTCAGTTGTGGGGCATGAGCACGCACAGTTGCTGGCTCACGTGCGTCTAGTGTTAGGACTAGAAAGGGAAGGGTGTGTTCCTACCGGCTCTGGTTCAGAAAGTCCCAGGAAAATCTCTGCTCAGAGGCGGGCAGATCACGAGGTCAGGAGTTCAAGACCAGCCTGGCCAGCACAGTGAAACCCTGTCTCTACTAAAAATACAAAAATTAGCTGGGCGTGGTGGTGGGCACCTGTAATACCAGTTATTCAGGAGGCTGAGGCAGGAGAATCCCTTGAACTCAGGAGGCAGAGCTTGCAGTGAGCCAAGATCACGCCACTGCACTCCAGCCTGGGCGACAGAGCGAGACTCCATCTCAAAAAAAGAAAACCTCTGCTCTGGCCTAACTCAAAGTGCCCATCCTCGAGGAGTAAGGTACCATGATTGGCCTTATTTACATTATAAGGTCAGCCTTGTGGCCTTGGGGAGCAGGGACTTTAGCAGTAGCAGGAGGAAGAAGCTGGGCAAACAAAAACAATAAATGCTTAGGACCTAAAAATAAAAACAGCCTTTGCCCAAGCTTGTTTAGGACAAACTCTCTCATTCATTCACTAATCCATGCATGCATGCATCCATCTACCAATTCAACAGTGATGAAGCACCTACTATGTGCCAGGCAGTGTCCTACACTGGGTGGATGTAGCAGTACATGAGATTCAGCTTCTGCCCTCATGGCTGATGGGCCAGTGAGGAGGCAGGGAGGTTGATGTGTTAACGGTTAGAAAGCAGTAAATATTTCTAACAAATAGACGGTCACATGCCCCGTGTGTCCCAGCCAAGCAAGGCCTGCCCAGGAAGGATGGGAGACATCACAGGAGGAGATGGGGGCTGGAAACTGGGACCTGTGCTTTCGGGGAGGATGTTGGACTGCAGAGGCCTTGCTTGAAGAGGGAATCAGGCTTGCCCTGCTGTGTGTGCCAGCAGGATTCCCAAGCACTGTCCCTTCCAGAAGCTGTTTGGAGCACTCCAGGTGTGGATCACCCCCCCTTCCCCCAGTCCCTCACAGCAAGGAAGGCCCCAGAACCTTCCTCTGGCCTTCTGCTGTGTTGCTTTTCCCTCTTGAGGGTCTCCTGGGAACCTGGCTCCTAACAATCCTCTTCTTGCGCCTGCTAGGGCGGGTTTCAACAGTCACCATGGCAGGCTATCATTCATAGTGACTTCATTTTTTCTAGGTATGTGACCTTGAACAAGTCACTTAACCTTGCCGTGCCTCAGTTTTCCCATCTGTAAGATGGGAATAGTAACAGTACCTGCCTCACAGAGTTAGGGGATTAATTGGTTAATATTTATAGAATACTTGTGACAGTGCACGACTGAATGTTTACTATTATTATTATTATTGCTGGTAAGTAGTAAGTAAATGTTTACTATTATTATTATTGCTGTTGTTATTGTTATTATTATTATTCTGACTCAGTGGAGGACACAGAGTCTCCACTACAGCAATGTCCCCATCCCCACCCTTTTGTCCCAGTCCCTGGAACCACCTCCTCAGCCCCTGGCTTGGGTTTCAGGAGTGTTTCCTGCTCTCAGGACTTTGCTGGCCTCACATGAAATCAGATTCCTCCAGGCTGGGGGTGAAGCTCCACCCTGTTCTCCTTTACTTTGCTGGCCCCAGGCCCCGCCCCTTCCTCCCTGCATCATTCCCAAGGCCAGCGACCGTGTCTGCGTCCAGGGACGTCCCTGGGTCCAGGCTAACAATGGCAGTGCTTGATGGTTGTGCACAGTAGTAACCGCCTTTGACCTCAGCGGTGAGGGAAGGCCAGGACCTCACCCTGCCCTCCCACCCCGGAATGGAGCTTGGCTGAAGCCCTGATGATTCTGGGGCACCCCTTTGGAAAGGCCCCATCGGGGGTTCCCCTGAGAAAGCAAGAAGACTTGTTCTTTCCCTGCCTGGTTGCAAAAGAGATCTTAGGCAGAACCGGGGGATGAGACTGTGTGGCGATCCCCCAGGAAGGTCCTCTCTTCCATTGAAATCCCTCCCTTATACCTGCTCACTGCTTCTGGGGATTCCTCCCTAGGAATAAACTGAAACACCTCAGGCCCCAGTCCTCCCAGCCCCAGGCTCCCTCCTGGAGAAAGGGAAAGGGGAGGACATCGGGTAGGCCAGGAAATGGAGGCCATGGTTTGGGGGTGTGGCTGCCCCCAGACTGGACCTCATTCTCCGTCTGTGCCTGGGTTGCTGCAGACTACTATGGGATGCATTTCCTGAGGCTCTGGGCCTCAAGTTGGCCCTGAATCAGCTGAGTCAAGATCAAGTCTAGGTTGAAAACTGAGTGGGGGCCAGGCGTGGTGGCTCATGCCTGGAATCCTAGCACTTTGGGAGGTCGAGGCAGGCGGATCACCTGAGGTCAGGAGTTCAAGACCAACCTGGCCAACATGGTGAAACCCGATCTCTACTAAAAATACAAAATTAGCTGAGCGTGGTGATGCGCTCCTGTAATGTCAGCTACTCTAGAGGCTGAGGCAGGAGAATTGCTTGAATCTGGGAGGCGCAGTTTGCAGTAAACCAAAAATCGTGCCACGGCACTACAGCCTGGGGAACAAGAGTGAGACTCCATCTCAAAAAAAAAAAGAAAGAAAAAAAAAGAAGAGAGAAAACTGAGTGGGATATTAAGGTTTATGCAGACTTGCGCCAGGCATTTAGCAGGAGAAGCTCAAATTCCCGTCCAGGCTTCTTTAGAAAAGCCCAAGTCACTGTCCCCTTTTGCTATGGTGACTGCATTTCCTGGACAGGTCCTGCCTTTGGATGGTTGCCTCATAGGCGTGACTCCAACAATGCATCCCATGGGATTTGGGGTTCCCCAGATCTGGGGCTTGTAGGCCTGACTCCCCTGTGCACACATCTCACACACACACACATGCGTGCACCCATTGCCTGCCCTGCCCCTTGCACAGGGAGCCAGCAGGGAGGACTGGGTTATGCCCTGCTTATCAGCGGCTTCCCAGCTTCCTCTGCCTGGATTCTTGGAGGCCTGGGGTCCTAGAACCAGCTGGTGCACGTGGCTTCCCAAAGATCTCTCAGATAATGAGAGGAAATGCAGTCATCAGTTTGCAGGAGGCTGGGGATTCTGGGCCGTGGTCAGACCTGCGCTCTGACCTGCGCCCTCCGTCTCCCTCCAGGCAGCCCTTCGCTGGTCCCTGCAAGCCCGTGGACACTGCTGGAGATGTCCTCTTTTGGTTTCGGGACCCTGACCATGGCCCTCTTTGCCCTGGTCTGCTGTTCAGGTAAGCCGGGTTTCTGGGGTTCCTGATTTGGCACATGCCAGCCGAGAGGGTGGGGGTGCCCCATTCCCTGTGGCTTCAGGTGGAAGAGAAGGCCCAAAAGTTACTAAAGTTGTTGGGTTTTTTTGTTTTGTTTTGTTTTAAGACAGGGTCTCGCTCTATCACCCAGGCTGGAGTACAGTAGCATGATCATGGCCCACTGCACCTCCCTGGGCTCATGTGATCCTTCCACGTCAGCCTCCTGAGTAGCAGGGATCACAGGTGATAGCCACCATGCCCAGCTAATTTTTGTATTTTTTGTAGAGACAGTGGGGGCTGGTCTCGAACTCCTGGACTCAAGTGATCCACCCGCCTTGGTCTCCCAAAGTGCTGGGATTACAGGCATGAGCCACCATGCCCAGCCTGCTGAGACTTTTTAAATTTTTTTATTTTTATTATAGACAGGTTCCTGCTCTGTTGCCCAGGCTGGAGTGCAGGGAGTGATCATAGCTTACTGCAGCCTCCAACTCCTGGGCTCAACAATCCTCCTGCCCTAGCCTTTGTACTGCTGGCCCCCTTCCCCTTGATCACTGCCCCTGAGTATCTGCAGGGCGTGGCATGCCCCTGCATGCCTTTGCCCAGGAGTCACCGTCTGGGTGAGGCCTTCATGGAGCACAATATCTAAAGTGGCCTCACCCTTAAAATGGCCTCACCCCCACTTTCTCGCGTTTTCCTTTCTCGGCGCCTTCCTGCCATGTGACCGGCTGGGTGCTCTGCCTGTCACTGTTTACTGGAGCTCCACCAGGGCAGTGTTTGGTCTACTTTCATCACTGCTGTATCCCCAGAGCCTGCTGCTTTGGACATAGCAGGTGTTCAGAAAGTGTTCGTGGAAGAAAGGAGAGGAGGGAGGGCCACAGAGGGCCCTTTGTGGGAGGGCTTCGTGGGGGAGGGGACATTCGAGCTGACCTTAAAGAGTGAGTGGGATCCCGCTGCATGGAGATGGAGCACAGCCTGAGGAAGACTACTCTGGAGCTGATGGGCAGATGGGCTGGAGGAAGGAGAGCCAGAGGCAGGGAGTCAGCTGGGGGGCTGGAGGAAGGAGAGCAAGAGGCGGGGTGTCAGCCGGGGGGCTGGAGGAAGAACAGCCAGAGGCGGGGAGTCAGCTAGGGGGCTGGAGGAAGAACAGCCAGAGGCAGGGAGTCAGCTGGGGGGCTGGAGGAAGGACAGCCAGAGGCGGGGAGTCAGCTGGGGGGTGGCCTGCTGGTCTAGCCGGGGCCATGACACCTGACAAGGGGAAAGTAGCAGCAGGGCCCCCAGTGACCTTTCCTCTTCAGCCCCTGACCCAGGAGCCAGACTGCCTCAATGGACAGCTCCACTGGAGGGCGGGGGGCGGGCGGTGACACCACTGCCCAGTGTTTCTGGTCTTGCAGGATCTGATGAGAAGGCATTCGAGGTACATATGAGGCTAGAGAAGCTGATAGTAAAGCCCAAGGAGTCCTTCGAGGTCAACTGCAGCACCACCTGTAACCAGCCTGAAGTGGGTGGTCTGGAGACTTCTCTAAATAAGATTCTGCTGCTCGAACAGACTCAGTGGAAGCATTACTTGATCTCAAACATCTCCCATGACACGGTCCTCTGGTGCCACTTCACCTGCTCTGGGAAGCAGAAGTCAATGAGTTCCAACGTCAGCGTGTACCGTGAGTGGCTGCCCCTGCTCTCCCCTGGGGCAGAGCCTATGTCTACTGAATGCACACAGAGCCCCTCTGTGCCTGCTCCTGGACACTGTCATCGTGGGCCCTGCCTCCCTAAGCTCCTGGGGTAACAAGGGGCAGGACCAGGCCTGCTGGCATCTCAGACACAGACAACCCACGTTTTGAGTCTTGCTTAGGGGAGGACAATCTAACCAAGGGTTAGCCATGTCCAGAAGTCATTCCCAACATAGCTGAGTCACCAGCACACCCCATGTCCTATACCAAGTAGTGGGGTCACCACCCAGGGAGCTGGGCCCGTCCACCTCATGACAAGAAGGTTGAGGTGTTGCCCAGGGCTTTTATCTTCCCCTCAGGGCCCATGGCAAATGTGTGGCCATCACACTCCACCTGCACATGAGCCATGGAAACCTTCCAGATGGGCCAGGATAGGACATCTTGGTGCTAAGGGTATCACCTGGGTCCATTCCATCACCAGCTTCAGTGGATCAATGAACAGAAAAACGTCTTAAATCCAACATATTTTCCCGGGGTGGGAGGTGGGGTGAGTGGAGGTGAAGTATTCTAGTTCAAAAGAGAATCCAGGGCACCCCCTCAGGTGGTTGCACACGTGAGGAATCGTGCTGGCCATGGCCCTGACCCTGGAGAACCTGGGCAGGTCTGGCTCTGGCCCCCGCCTCCTAAGTGAGGAACTTCACAGCTCAGTTCCCCGAGTGCCCAGTTCCAGTGAGCACGCCCACCTAAGTCTCTCTCAATGTGATCACCCGACTGTTTAATTTTTGAAATTTGTATTTCATTTCTGAAGGAGAGGAGACAGACCCAAACTTTTATATCTTTCCAGTTGGCCGTACAATTTCTGAACCTTGTCCTTGTAGATGCCTGGTCACCGGAAATCAACATGTCTGTAAAACTACCATGCAGTCCAGCCTCCATCCTCAACCGCCGCCCTCTTCCTCTCTGCACTGGAGCTGGCCAGGCCTCCTCCTCCCCGACCATGGAACACCATGGTGACAGGAGATGGCCCTGGCCAGGGAGAGGCTGCTGGGGCTGCACCCCCATCCTGACCAGACCTCCCTCCTTTGTCCCCTGCAGAGCCTCCAAGGCAGGTCTTCCTCACACTGCAGCCCACTTGGGTGGCCGTGGGCAAGTCCTTCACCATCGAGTGCAGGGTGCCCGCCGTGGAGCCCCTGGACAGCCTCACCCTCAGCCTGCTCCGTGGCAGTGAGACTCTGCACAGTCAGACCTTCGGGAAGGCAGCCCCTGCCCTCCCTGTCCTCAGGGAGCTTGGCATGAAGTTCATTCAGCTCTGCCCAAGAAGGGGTTTGGCTGGGACCATGCCACCCTCCAGGCCATGGTGTCCAGCAGCTACACACTGGTCCCAGGGCTGCTGACAAGGGACATCTGCCCTCACAGCCTCACGGAAATTCAGCTGGTAGCCTGAGCCTGGGCCACCTTTTTTCCAGATAATTTTAATTTAGACACCATTCACCACACATGTCTACAGCCTGGGGTGACTGCAGGATGGATGAGTGGGCGGCGGGGGCTGGCGGGGCTGGGTCGGGGGTAGACTTCCACTTCCTTTTGGTCCCTGGTAACTGGGATCACAGGATGTCTAAGACCCTTGCCCCCTCCCTGCCCAGAGCCCGTGCCGGACAGCCAGATGGTCATCATCGTCACAGTGGTGTCAGTGTTGCTGTTCCTGTTCGTGACATCTGTCCTGCTCTGCTTCATCTTCAGCCAGCACTGGCGCCAGCGGCGGATGGGCACCTACGGGGTGCGAGCAGCTTGGAGGAGGCTACCCCAGGCCTTCCGGCCATAGCACGCATAAGTGGCATGGCCGCCGCCATGGTGGTCACTGGAACTCAGTGTGACTCCTCAGGATTGAGGTCCAGCGCTGGCCGAAGGACTGTGACAGGCAGCAGGGACTCGGGACATTGCCTTTTCTAGCCCGAATACAAACACCTGGACTTAGCGCTGTGCCCACAGTGTCTCCTCCTGGGATAAGAACGGCCATGGAGGGGAGCTACCATGGGGGACCCCTCTCCCCGGATGCCTCCCTTCCCACCCTCTCCTTCACAGGGGCCTCCCAGCCCAGGCGCCAGGCCCCCATCTGGCCTGAGTAGCTCACTCCTACTGAGGGAGGGTGGGGGAACACACCCTGGCCCAGGGGGCAGAGGACACAGTGTTCCCACCTGGCCCCAGGAGACCTCAGGCCACTCCTGGTCACAGCAGGACAAAGCTCTGACCTCTCCTTTCTGCCAACAGAGCTGCTTCCTGGGACGACGAGTGGGGGTCCCAGGGAACTGACTCTGCTCGGGGGCGCTGCCCAGCAAGGCCTCTCCCCCACCACTCTGGGCCCCTGCAGCCACCTCAAAGCGGCCTTCAAAGTTGTGGAAAGTGAAGGAAGCCCTCACTCCCCTCTTGCTCCATTATTAGGCTGGAAGGAAACCTCATCATCCCAGAGAGAGGGGTGAGGGAGAGAGGGTGGAGGCTCTGTTCCCAGGCCTCCCCCTGCTCCAGGCAGGAAGCAGTGGGGCAGAGGCGGGCTGACGTGGCTTCAAGGGCCTGGGTGGTGCTCTAAGGAGAACTTACACCACAGCATAGATCCGACCCGTCCAGGGACTCATTGGGGTGGGGCAGGGACTGATTTCCCCAGGAGAAGAGGGCCTGGCTGAGGTTGAGGGAGTGAGAAGGACCGCCAGCCATGGGCACAGAGGAGCCGACAAGAGAGGTGCGGGAGGGGGCTCCGGGGCTGTATCCAGAGCACAAAGCTGGTGCAGGTCCCAGGGCCAGCGTCTGTCCTCATAGGAGGCTCTCGGCATCACAGTAGTCTGGGGAAGCAAGAACCTCATCTTGACTCCCTCCTGCCTCAGTGGACTCCAAAGAGGAAAAGGGAGGGGGACAGGCCAGTTGCCTGCAGCAGTGATGGTAGGAAACCCCCAAACCCCACCAGAGTGCACAGGGCGCTCCTGGCCTCCTCATTCACTCCCAGGCCTGGGCCCTGCTGCCGACCACCCCAGCCCTACCTGAAGCCGGGGGTACATTGGCACCCACAGTCCCTGTGGCACTGGGGGGTGGGGGTGGAGGCACAGCTCTCCTGAGATGGGGGAGAGAAAAAGACCCCTATCAGAGGCCCAGAGGTGGCCTCTGGGGTTTTACCCACAAGTTATCTCCACCAACCACCCATCCCTGCACAGCTCTTCCAGCCCAGCCCCAGAGCAGAACCCTGGCAGCACCCAGCCTCACTTACGCCTCCCTTTCCCTGGAGGCAGGAGGACAGTGCTGAATCCTGGGTACATCCCGCAAGTGGGGCTGACAGGCGGGAGCGGGGAAGAAGGGGGCCCGCCAGGGCAGCAGGGTACCCGGGGACGGCATCAAATAGGGCAAGTAGTGATGGTGAAGCACCAAAGGCCCTATCTCCTGTACGTCCATCTCCTCCTCTTCCTCCTCAGGCTCTTCCTGTGGAACCTCCAGGTAGATCTGGGGATTGTGCAAAACAGGGAGGGGAAATGAGAATCCATGATCAGGCTCTCCCCATCCCTACTCCTCCATTCCCCTAAGTTATTTCCTCCAGATAGGCTTTGTAAGAATGGCTTGTGTAGGCCAGGCGCGGTGGCTTGCACCTGTAATCCCAGCACTTTGGGAGGCCAAGGTGGGCAGATAACAAGGTCAGGAGATTAAGACCATACTGGCTAACACGATGAAACCCCGTCTCTACTAAAAACACAAAAAAGTAGCCGGGTGTGGTGGCGGGCACCTGTGGTCCCAGCTACTCGGGAGGCTGAAGAAGGAGAATCACTTGAACCCAGGAGATGGAAGTTGCAGTGAGCCAAGTTCGTGCCACTGCACTCCAGCCTAGGTGACAGAGTGAGACTCCATCTCAAAAAAATAAAAAAAAAAAAAGAAAAGGATGGCTTGTGTTTATTGAGCATTTACTACATGCGGACAAGGCATTGTGGAAACATTTACTCCTGTAGCTCAAGGAGGTTGAGCAACTTGGCCATCCAGCTGATTCCAGGTGTGAACCCAGAGCTGGGTCCAAGAGTCCACTGAGCTGTCCCCAGCCTCACCCCCAGCCCCTGGACCCACCTATGTGCCATCACTGGGGATCCAGGGGTGAAGGGTGGCAGTAGCTCCTTAGGGTCTCACTCTATCTGGATTCCTTGAACCCCTCTCTGACTCCTCCGGGTTGACCAGCATTCTCTCTCCACCCAGTCCCTGCTTCTCCTGACCTCAGGATGCCCACTATTGGCTAAGGCTCAGCCTTAGAGCTATACGCACATGCATGCACATACACGCTTGCACACACACCCACTTGCACATGCACACACGATTGCACACACACGGACACACTCGCACACACATATGCATGCACACAGACACCCACTTGCACACACATGCGCCCATACACACATTTGCGCACACACACTGCCGCACCCGGTTTCTCCCATTCTGTCTCCTGACTCTGCCCCTGCCAGCCTGGATGAGGGACACAACCTTTGCCTCCTCCAAGGGTCAAAATCCTACCTGGCTTTCAAGGGCTGGTTCTAAGGTCCCCTGCACCTCCAAGGAGCCTGTCCCCATCCCCCAACCCTGTGTGCACTTGTGCTTTGTACCTCTCCATGTGCCATCACAGCCAACCTGGCCTTGTATCCCTAACCATTCATTTATTCATTCACTTGTTCAACAAATATCAGCTGAGCCCCTACACAGTGTCAGGCACCAGGCCAGATGCTCATGATGCATGGGGCAGGGTTACCAGGGTGCCTGCCTTCCTGGAGCCTGAAGTCCAGTGAGGAAGGCACTGCAGGGAAACATCCTTGAAAACAAGACCTGGGTGGTCTGGACTTTGGGGGCGTCTCTTCCCCCCACCACCCACCTTTCATGGAGGCTGAAACAGGGCCTGATACATAACAGATGCCAAATAGCCCCAGCCAGAGAGACAGGCTGGCTTCCTGCTCCTCTGTCTCCCAGTTATTCCCGCACCACCCCCACCTCCCGCCAACAGGAATCCCAGGTGGATCCACATCCCTGGACCCACAGGTGAGCGACCCCACCCACACACACCTGAGGGCAGGGCGAGGCCGGCCTGGGCTGCAGCGCTCCAGCCACCAGGCGACTTAGCAGCAGCTGGTGCATCTGCGCGTTCTGCAGCATCATTAGTTCCAGCAGGTCTAGGAAGCGGGGTTCAGCAAGCCCACGCCGGGACTCCGGGTCCCCCTCCCCCTGACACCCCTGTCCTCAGGGGAGGGAAAGAATGGGTGGGCGGATTGTGCTGCGGGGACTCCCAGACGATGTGCGAGGCAGAAGGGGGTGAGTGGTGGTGATGGTGGTAATGGGGTGGGGTGACCCGGGAGTCTCACCTTCCTTCACGCGGCCTGGCTGCGGGGGCGCAGGTGGTACGGCCCACCAGAGGGGCTGCAGGACAGTGACCCAGGGCTGGGGGTGTGCGCGGAGTCAATCACGTGGGGTGGGGGGAATTGATGGGGACACGTCGCGAGCCCCAACCCCTCCCGGCCAGTGGACTCCCTAACCCCGCAGGGGCCGGGTTCTCCCCTCCCTGCCCCGCGGCCTCCCTGCTCCCTGCCACGCCTCTTCCTCTCGGTTTGGGGTTGTCTCTCCTCACCTCCCCACAACCGCTCCGCCGCTCCAGGGTCTAGCCCCTCCAAGGACCCCACCCACTCTGCTGTCCCCCACGTTAGGGCAGGATCTGCTCCCGGGCTCAGCCCTCACCGTCGGAACTGCGCTCTGCGGTGGGGAGCAACCCCAGCTCCCGCCCGCCCCAGAGGCCATGGCTGGCGCGGGTTGCCTTGGCGACGCCGAGGACGCCAAGGTCTCCTCCCACGCATGCGCGGAGCCCGCCCGTGCTCCTGGGTCCTCCCTCTCCCTGCTCCCTCCTCTCTCCTCCTCCGCGGACTTGGGGTCCCCAGGAGCCCTCCCCTGCCACCAGGAGGCCGGTCTCCTCCCCGGCATGTCCACCTCCCGCCGCGCTGCTCCGGGCTCCCCTCCCCGCCCCTTGCTTGTCCCTAGAACTGCGCCTGGGTTAGTGCGGGCAAGGGGGGTGTGTTTGTTGAGTGAATAAGCGAGTGGTTAGGGAGGCTTGGTTTCGGGGTCCCAGAGCCCGATTGACTCATCTGAAAAGTTCAGGAGAAACAGAGACTTTTGTAGGAGCAGGCTGGGGGCCAGGGCAGGCGAGTGAGGAAGGCAGAGGGTCTGTTCCCTGTCACTCTGACAGAGAGAGGGGCTTCGTGATGACTTCAGCACCTGCATCCCCAGTACTGCCTCCCATACTGGAAAAGTTACCAAAGCACGCATTCTTCTGACAGGAAGTTAGCAAGGTCTTCCTTGCTTAAGAACAGGTGAAGGGGGAGATCTATTTCTGCAGCTGTGACCATCCTAAGATAGGCCCCCGGCAGCAGTCAAGGAAAATCCAGACAGGAAGCTGGGCTTAGCACCCTGAGTATCCCTTCCCCCACTCTCCATGTCAGCTCCCCTTCCTGCCAGTCCTGGAGTAAGAACTAGAAAGACCATTCCCGCCTCTTCCTTTGCTCCATAGTCACTGTCTCTAGGGGAGCGGGCCTGTGGGCATTGCTTTACTGTCCCCATGGGTCTTATGGCTTCAGTAGCCATCAACAAGCTGAAATCCAGGCACTGGGGTCACAGCCCCCCAGTGAGTAGAACACAGAGGTGCCTCTCTCCATCTCCACTCTCATTCCAAGTAGAAAGAGAACCAACCATTTTGCTCATCATCAGCAAACCTTGACCAAGGAAGTGTCTGCATGTGCAATGTGCCATCTGAACCCTGGAGGCGTAAGCAGTATGGTCATTGGTCCCAGCATTGTTGGGAAGTGAAAATGTATCCATGAAAAGAGAGCAGAAAGATAAGACTACGCCCCAGGGATAATGAAAAAGAGAGGACTTGACCAGTGAGGGATGGAGTTCCAAGGAAGGCAGTCCTTGATGGGGCCAAGCAGAATGGGAAGACAGGTGCTATCAGGCTGGGGACAGAACCCAAGCCAAGACCCAGGTGTATGAATGGACAGGACCTGAGATGACGCCGTGGGTCAAACTGTCTGACTGTGGAAGAGGAGCTGGGCAGAGAGCAGAGGTCCAGGGACAGGTCAGACTTGAATGCCAAGGTTTGGAATTTAGGCTTGGCCCTGTGGGTAATGGAGAGATATTGGTGGGTTTCAAGCAAGAGGGAGATACTGAGTGATGTGGCCAGTCCTGTTTCAGGAAGATTCTTCTTGTCTACCTTTGTTTATGTCAACCACATTTAGAAATAACAAATGTCTGATAGGGGGTCAGGTGCAGTGGCTTGTGCCTATAGTCCCAGCTACTCAGGAGGCTGAGGCAGAAGGATCGCTCAAGCCCAGGGATTCAAGGATGCTATGAGCTATGATCACGTCTCTGCACTCCAGCCTGGGCAACAGGGTGAGACCCAGTTTCTAAAACAAAAAAACAAACAAATGTGTCATTGGCATGCATCCTCCCAATAGAATATTGTTCAACCATGGATAATGTGGGAATAGAATATTTCTGTTGATGTGGAAAGTTATCCAAGAGAGTTGAGTCAACAATATCAGTAAGCATAGTAAGATCTTATTTTTGTTTTAAAAATCATATGCATAAGGCCGGGCATGGTGGCTCACGCCTGTAATCCCAGAAGTTTGGGAGGCCAAGGCAGGCAGATCACTTGAGGTCAGGAGTTTGAGACCAGCCTGGCCAACATGTTGAAACCCTGTCTCTACTAAAAGTACAAATATTAGCCAGGCGTGGTGGCAGGTGCCTGCAATCCCAGATACCCAGGAGGCTGAGGCACGAGAATCGCTTGAACCTGGGAGGTGGAGGTTGCAGTGAGCTGAGATCATGCCACTGCACTTTGGCCTGGGCTACAGAGACTCCATCTAAAAAAAGAAAAAATTCATATGCATATACGTGTGTATGTATATATGCGTGTGTGTGTGAACACACACACACAGATCCAACTATGGAGCAGCTGTCAGAGCTGGCCTGTACCCCCAGCCTCCCCCAGAGTCTTCTGCAGAGGGTTCCTGCACTCACCTACAGCCCCTCCACCTGAGGACACGTGGCCACAGGTGAGACAGGCCAGACGGTGGCCCAGGAGCAGCCCACAAGCAATAATGGATGCGAGTTGATAGCTAAACTCGCAGCCTCCTGGCCTCAGTGCGGCAACTCTGAGGTGGTGTCTCCCACACAGCCTCTCAGTGATGCCCGTGGGCTTGTGCCCGGGTGGCCCACAGTGACCCGCTCAGAAACGCACACTTTACTGCCTTTTCTCCTCTCCCTGTCCCTTCTCCACTCTCTCGTAGTGCTCACTGGGATCTCCTTCCAAAGAAACTACTGCTCCCCAAGCCTTGTGTCAGGGTCTGCTTTTGGGGGATCCCAGCAAAGACATCAGCCTGCTACTCACTCCACATCTGCCCCCAGGCTACTGAAAACTCCTGGAAAAGGGACTTAAGTAGCTCTATGATACATTTGCTTTCAGAGATGTGAAATACTAAAATAGACATTGAAGAAAATGAGTTTGGGTGTACAATGGTCAATAGGTTCAACTGAGGCAAGGCTGGAGGCAGGGGGCCTAGCAAAGAAGCTGCCACCCTTGTCCCTCTAAGGAAGCCTGCAGCAGGCTAGAGGTGGCCGCAGAAAACAGTCAGGAGGAGGTAATCATTCCAGTGCCTCAGAAGTAAAAGTGCATGTTGACCACTTGTATTTTGAAAAACAAGGCTGAGATCAAAACTCTCTGGCTTGTGGTATTGAGTTCGATTTCTTTGTCAAAAGAAACGGAAGCATTTGCCATGAAGAAAGGAAAGCCACACACTTATCTGCCTGAGCTATTTTGCTCATAGAAGGTCTCCCATCAGCGCAGCAGAATAGGAGGTGACTTACTTTCCTGCTATTTGTCTTGCCTACTATTATTTTCTTTGAGACGCTGAACACTCCACCTATTTCCTTTTTATTTTCTTCTCAATAGGAACTCTTGTTGGCCTCTTTGGATTTTTTTTTTCAGTGACCCAAGACAATATGTACTATAAGTCCTCCCCATTGCCTTGGTAAATCTATTTCTGGGAATAAGCTAAACATAGGAAAAGATTTATACTCAAACACGTTCATCATAGTGTTATTTTTAAAGGTTAAAAATTGAACATTTGGCAGGACATGGTGGCTCACGCCTGTAATTCCAGCACTTTGGGAGGCCAAGGCAGGTGGGTCATTTGAGGTCAGGAGTTCAAGACCAGCCTAGCCAACATTATGAAACCCCGTCTCTACTAAAAATACAAAAATTAGCCAGGCATGGTGGCAGGCACTTGTAATCACAGCTACTAGGGAGGTTAAGGCAGGAGAATTGCTTGAACCCGGGCGGTGGAGGTTGCACTGAGCTGAGATGATGCCATTGCACCGGGTGACATAGTGAGACTCTGTCTCAAAAAAAAAAAAAAAAAAAGAAAAAGAAAAAGAAAAAATTGAACATTACCCAATGTCTAATAATAGGGGGATGGTTGAGTGAATTAAGACAGTTCACTCAAAATAAAATTGTGCCATTATTAGAAACCACGGAATTGTGAAAATAAGCTACCTCCACTTTCCCTCAGATGGAAATGGAGAGAAAAGAACCCTTTCTAAGAATTCAAGTGGAAATTTCAAAGCTATTTTTGGTACAGTTGAGGAAGCATTGTTCAGAGAGTGACCCCAGCAAATCATCCCTTTCCTCGGGTGCAGTTCCTAAAGAGACACAAATTGGAAGGAACTGCAATATGAAAATTGAAGGAAAGGAGCTAAGTATTGCTCTGCAGAATTATATTATTGAGTAGATATGCGGGAGAGAGGGAATCTCGAAAATTCAACAGTGGAGAAACCTCAATTTTCTGCCTAGCAGCTCTGGCTGCACTGTTTCTGCAAATTATGCTTATTCTGGTGAGATACGCAAGTGTGCTTTTGTCCAGCAGACACCTGCAGGTACTCTGAGGACTTATAAGTGAGCACATTGCACAGGTGGGATGCCCTGTGTTGGGGACCTGGCTTCGAGGTCCCACTCCATTGGAACTGCACTGAGGGGTGGAGTTCCAGAGCCTCCCCTCCCGGCCCCCTGGAGTCAGGGTGCCACCACCCATGGGGGAGCAACCTGATGCAGCTCCCGGGAAATCACCCCAACCCAACCACTCAGGGAGGAAGCTGAGTGAGCAGGCCGGGGGTGGGGGTAGGGGTGGAGTGGGGTGTGACCAGGCCAATTCCTGTGGGTCAGGTTCTGAGATGTGGTTCTGTTTCGCAGAATTATTTTGTTTGTGGGTAACTGAAAATTTAAACTAGGTTAAGGGAAAAGGGTGGGCTTTTTTGGCTCATGTGACAGGACAGTAATGGAATTGGTCTATAGTTTAACTGTTTCAGAGACTCAGTGTCTTCAGGGCCCTGTCTCCTCCTTCCTTCCCTCCCTCCCTCACTCCCTCCCTCCTTCCTTCCCTCCTTCTCTCCCTCCCTCATTCCTTCTTTCCTTTCTTCCCTCCCTCCCTCCTTCCCTCCTCCCACCTTCCTTCCCTCCTCCCTTCTTTCCTTCCCTCCCTTTCTCTCCCTCCCTCCCCTTTTCTTTCCCTCCCTCCTTCCTTCCCTCTTTCCCTTCCCTTCTTCCTTCCTTCCCTCCTTCCCTCCCTCCCTCCTTCTCGCCTTCCTTCCTCCCTCATTCCCTCTCTCTTTCCTTCTTTCCTTCCTTTCCTCCCTCCTTCCTTCCTTCCTTCTTTCCCTCCTTCCTTCTTTCCTTCCTTCCCTACCTCCCTTCCCCTTCCTT